ATGTAGGCTGCATGAAATGTTAAAGCATTTTCCACCTAAGTTATTACATATATTTGAGTTATCTACAAGTTTACTGTACTGTTCATCTACTCGCTTTCAAATGTCCACCACGGACATTTACACAATGTCACGGATAAACATGGGTAAATGCATGAAAAAAAATCATTACATAGGACCTCTGATAATGGTTTATTCATTTAAAAACACATTGTGCTCGTTTAGCACACTATTTCATGTAGTTTTTATCTGCTGGCGGATCGCGTAGGGGAGCGTAGCACGACAAAAATAGAAGAGCCGCGTAAAATAGAGAGTTGTCGCGCCGCTCCCGTTGCCGGTGGAGCCGCTGTAATTGATTAACCGAGGGGGCGAGCTGCTACGGGACTCGTGCTGCAGACGTGTTGCGCCGCTGACGTGCCCGGTGGAGCCTGGCTGTAACAGCGCTCACAGCACGCTGCATTCCAAGCATCCAGTGTTGTGACTTCGTGCACCGGCCGTGAACAATAGCCAATTAAAGGGTTCCGCCTTTCAATCATCACATTATACTTCCGATCAAAATTATTAAATGTTGATATAATCAAAATAAATCGTGAATAACAATGTTTTTTTCCATCAAGTGTATTTAACTTTTTAATGCCTTTAAGGCCTTAATTTTCGCAAAATCTATTTAATGACTTTTAATGCTTTTTAATGACCCGCGGAAACCCTGATCATACCAAGGTATCAGTGAAACAGTGGGGAAACAACACCAACAACTACAACTTGTCAAAATGACAAAAGCTCAGTCTTCAGAGCGTATTCTCACACTTTTGCGATTTCTGCCTTCAGCCCAATACAATGAAGGTGAATGGGATTTTGTTCAGCTCAGGGGAATGAAATGTTACAACTGACAAAACTGACTTACTAGTGCTCATGGAGGTTTCGTATGAAGCGCAGTAATCCCAGTGTGTTTGCAGGATAGGGTTTCTTCTTGCCATCCAACTTCTGGACCAACTGTGGTGGAAACTGTAATGCCAAACCTTGGTTATGATTACAGATAATGAAGTGGACCTCAGGAATACAAACTAGTTAGGTTCCAAATGAAGAATAAAGTTGTTATGTTGCAGTCACCTTATCTTTCCACTGTTTGAAGGATCCATCCTCAGCACATTTTTCCAGTGAAGAGATCAGTTCCTGGTCAGCATTTCGACAGTCTTCAGCCTCCTTCCTGTTTCCAACCTTTCTCAAGTATTCAACTTTCCTGAAAAATAAAATTTTATTTTGAGTGCATGTTTGACAAAATATAAACAAGGTAAACCATTTTGTCATATCATGCTGATAACAATTGTGGAATAGAGAAGCCATGGAAATATGTTGGGAAATAACAGCAATTGAAGAAGAAGAACTTGACTTTCGGTAAATCATTTCCAGTGTTGGGGAGTCATAAACTACATGTAATTAAACTAGTAGTTTAACTACAAGTTGCAGTAGCTTGCCTGTAATTCATATTTGGATAATGATACACACATTTATTTACTTATTTATTTGCCACTTTTGTGTAGTTAACTTTCAAAACCACAAACAATTTTGGGCCATGAAGGGAAAGCGACTGAAACTGAACCCAAAATTGATCTAAGTATTGATTATTGCGGTTTATTAACAAATGTCCAGACAAGTTGTTGCATGCTATTTTAGAGGTTACCTGGCAAACTGGGTAACTCTGCTTGGTACAATACCCCCACCTGAACTCTAGTTTCTGAAGGCAGGTGTCCTATGCTCCCAGGGTCCTATGTTCCCCAGCTCATTATCTTCTCAATATGACACAAGGAAACCTTTCAGATTATGGTGATGGTGGCCATGGTAAACATTACACCTGCTTAGCATCAGCATGTTAGCATTGCCATTGTGAGTGTAGCATGCTGATGATAATTTATAGCTGACAGCACCTCTGTGCCTTTCAGCACAACCTCACAGAGGCGCTACAGTATCTTGGCTTTAAACACAAAGTCTTGTTAACCCCACGTTAGCTACAAAACTTGAACATCCGCATAAAGAAAAGCAAAACAGTTTCATTAATCTGAATGAATTGGTCATAATAAAAGTATTTCTACCTGTCATTGGTCCAGAAGAAGGGATGACTCAAGCATTCTTCCACCTTAGGTCTGCTCTTTGGTTCTTTATTGATCATCCACTCGATGAGATCCTTTGCCACCACATCTTGCACATGGTCTAAAGTGTAGTTCCCTTCATGAATATTGTACTCACATTTAAAGCTGTCACCAAAAGGATGGTGTCCTCTAGAGAGGATATAATAAACCAGCATCCCTGCCACCTGAAAAGTAGCATAGAAGTTTATTTAGTGAATGATTTTTCACCAAACCATGAATAAAATTTGTTTAGCAGAAAACTAACCTGTATGTCAGTGCTCCACTTGTATGGTGTGTCAGGTCTTCCTTCTAAAGTCTCCTTGGCCATCCAGCATTTTGTTCCTACACTGCTTGTGCGTAGAGTTGTTTGTCCCATGAGTAACCGTCTGCTTATGCCAAAATCAGCTAATCTTGCCCTTCCTTTAACATCTGCAAAACAAATGGTGCGGATTGATTCAGTGAACAAAATTATAGGCCATATCAAACAAATTTTAATTCATATTATTGGAATTTCAGTTCATGAATTACATGTTTGGATATTTTTATCTTGTCTTACCGATCAAGACATTCTGTGGTTTGAGATCCCGGTGGAGAATTGGAGGATTTAGACAGTGAAGCACCCTTAAACTGTCAAGGACCTCATACACCAGATTCTTCAGAAATGGACAAACTTCCCCCCAAGCGAATTTAATGTACTCTTCCAGGGTGTATTCACACAGTTGAAGACCAAGATATCCAAAGTTCTCATCCTCTGCAAAGTCAACGTATCGTACAATAGATGGATGATCCATCTCTGGAAGTCGCAGGAATTCTTCCTCATTCTTCAGCTCCTGATAGTTGCATTTTGTCATTTTCTTAATAGCAACTTCAGTGCCGTCATTCCTCAGCCCCAAGAAAACTTCAGTGCCATCACTTCCCTTCGCTATGCGGAACTCTGCATCATTCACGTAACTCATGCTCCCAGCTCTGGTGACTTTGCTTTCATCGGTACTCAGAAGCTTTTCTAGTTGTCCTCTCCACCTCTTGCTGATTGGAAACCATTTCTGTGGTTGCTTTTGATGTCCTAGGTTTGATTGGTCAGACACAGTTTGAGTAGATTGTACAACAGGAGCAGCCACTGGGTCGTTTGGACTTCCTTGCTTGCCAGTTGTGTTCTCAGATCTTGTAAAGGCTGTACCATCTTCACATTCCAAGGTTTGTTTGCTGAAATGTTCTTTCAAACGTCTGCGCACCTCTCTCACATCTTTCTGACTACTCATATCTAAGATGTCAACAGCATTAACTGAAAGTAAGTTTAGAAATATGCCATAAATGGAGGCTGTAATATCATTTGTGTCTGTAGAGACAAAAAGAGCAACTGTGTGGCATAATTTCTCAATGAAGTTGGGATCCCAGCAATTTGTACCTTTTGTTTTCTTTGTTATCACATGTAGTGTTGGCAGAATAACTTCATATAACTTCACATAAGGTCTCTCTTTTGAGCCAAGCTGTTTCAATAGTTGGATAACTACATCTAATGCTTGCTCATTTGGTATGTCTTCCATTGTGTGGAAAACTGCATGTAAAGTAATAACTGCCCAATGTACATGTTCTTGATGAATGTTTGGAAAGCGGCTGATAGCGCCTGCAATGTAGGAGTTCAGGTTTCCAGTGTCCTTCAGCCATTTGATACTTCCCTGGTGGTATTTTTCTGCATCTGACCCAGTTACATTAAAAAGCATTTCAATCATTGTCAGATGGGTCTGAGGATCCTCCAGCAGCATGTGACTGTGAAAAGTTTTGAACACATCCTCAGGTGGTCCCCCTCGCACAGCAATTTCCATATCCAGAAAACGTCCAAGGTTGGAACATAATTCATCTTCATTCAATGCAAGGTGAACCATCTGAGACATTTTTTGATTGTGAGTAATATGTTCAGGATCAGTAACAGGTAAAATGGTTACCAGAGCACCAGCAGATATGAGCACTTTCATGACATCATCCCTGTCACTGATGGCAGCAGTCTGCAGTGGTGTCAGAGAATTTCGTTGGATGAGATCACATCCATTTGGATTAGCTTTTGTTTCAAGCAGTTTCTCCACAAAAGCAAGGGGTGCTTTTGATAGTGAGACATAATGCAAAGGTGTCAAGCCATTTTGCGATGCCTTGTTTGGGTCTGCACCTTGTTGCAGTAGGAGAATACAAATTTCCTCATTGTGATTGACAACAGCAGCAATCAGTGGGGTTATGTAGTCATTCCACTCTCTGCATGGGTAAACTTCATTTATGTTGTTGTCCTTTAGTAAATTCTTGAGCTCCTCCAGGTTCTTGTTGATGATACATTGCAGGAGAGAGCAACATGTTTCTTTTGGGGTGACTTCCATTTGTAACTGTGTAATGAAATATATTTCTTTGCTTCAGGGTATCTGTTGGAAGACCACAAAATAAGGTTACTGTTTAACATTTCATGCCAAACAAAACAAGACTACCAAATATAGAGCTATTACAAAAACAGTTCTGTCACAATGGCCACTATTAATGAGTTAAGTTATCTCATCTTCACTCATGTTTGGACCTTTTTCAAGTATCTAATGGTGGAGACATGGAATCCTGTTTCAGTAGTTAGGAAGTTGTACATATACATATTAGCCAATGGGGAACACACATACTCTGTGAGCAGGGTATATGGCAGTGTGAATTCCACCCTCGGGTCTAAACACATCCAAGAGATCAGGAAATGTCATCATCCCATCAACTTGAGCTGCATCCTTAGCACTGCAAACAAAGAGAAAAATATCATATTATTGTATACTGTATATTAAATAAATGAACATGTATATGTAACAGGTCAGTGTTGATATATTATGAAGAATTGCTTTTTGGTGACATCTAAAGGCCCTGTATCACTTTCAACTCTCAACTCTCCTGAAAAGGGCGGCATGATGGTCTGGTGGTTAGCACTGTCGCCTCACAGCAAGAGGGTTCCCGGTTCGATCCCGGGTGTGGGAGCCCTTCTGTGCGGAGTTTGCATGTTATCCCCGTGTCAGCGTGGGTTCTCTTTGGGCGCTCTGGCTTCCTCCCACAGTCCAAAGACATGCAGATTGGGGACTAGGTTAATTGATAACTCTAAATTGTCTGTAGGTGTGAATGTGAGCGTAAATGGTTGTTTGTCTCTATGTGTTAGCCCTGCGATAGTCTGGCGACCTGTCCATGGTGTACCCTGCCTCTCGCCCGATTTCAGCTGGGATAGGCTCCAGCCCCCCCGCGACCCTCAAGAGGATGAAGCGGTTAGAAGATGAATGAATGAATGAACTCTCCTGAAAAAAAGAGTTTATTCTAGCATATAAGAATTGCAAAATAAAGGGAAACCTCAAAAAATTCTCATATGATACTGGTTGAAAAACCCCCCAAAAAACTCAGAGATGGAAACTGACCATTTGCTTACCCCCTCCTCCAAACAGCAGTTGTCCAATCATAGTTGCGAATCCCTTACAACGCATGACAGGCATGGTATGCTTTAAATTGCTCCACATGCCAAAGCTGCATACATGCACTGACTGAATGAAACACAACATCAACACTATAAAGTGAAGTCTGGTGTATGGAGTGTAAAAAAGTATCCAGAGATATATACGATAAGAAACAACAAGTTTAAGGGTGCCTGCAGAGCCCTAAGGGAGCCTAATCAATGGCCTGCTGTTGTGCTGAAACTAGGTTGGAGGTGTGCAAAACTTTGCCAAAACAAGGCCAAGGCAAGCGTTTTGTTTGTTGTATTTTTTTAAATCTAAACTTTTTATTTAAAGTATTTTTAGACAGAACATAAACAACATAAACACTGTGTGGGGCCACACGGGTTGAGTGTTCATAAGTCCACATGCTAAGTGTTCTTTCATTGTTCAGACATTCATTGTGAAACTGCGTCCATTTTTTTGGAAAAAAAAGACATTCCACTTCTCCCATTTGCTGAGGAATATTGCTCCTCTAGACCTCAGAGAGAAAGTAATCTTTTCCATGAGAAAGATTTCCCTGATTATGTCCATCCATTGTTTAAGGCTTGGAGGTTCAGATTTGTACCAGTTCTTTGTTTTTGTTTTTTTAGAGATTATTTTTGGGGCGTTTTTCCTTTAATGGACAAGATAGTGTGTGAAATGGGGGAGAGGGAGAGAGAGAGAGAGAATGGGGGGACGACATGCAGCAAAGGGTTGCAAGCCGGAGCTGACCTCGCGACCGCTGCAGCGAGGCATCACCTCTATACAAGGGGCGCCAGCACTATCTACTACGCTACCGACGCCCCAGTACCAGTTCTTTGTAATTGCTTTTTTTGCATGCAATTAACAGTATTTTACACAGATATTTATCTTTTCCATTAATTACATCTTTCCGTATTGCACCAAAGTACAAGACCTTGACATCAAAAGGTATTTCATATCCCAAGATCTTTTTTTATAGTATCTTATCTTATGTTACTATACAGTATAATGATGAAAACTCTGTCTGTGGGTGTGTCTGTGTGTCTGTTCCACGTTTTTCTCCTCACTGACTTGGTCAATCCATGTGAAATTTGGCACAGTGGTAGAGGGTAATGGGAGGATGCCAATGAAGCAATATTACATCAATTGGCCAAAGGGGGGCGCTATAGCAACCGATTGAAATTGCAAACTTTGAATGGGCATATCTCATGCCCCGTATATCGTAGAGACATGAAACTTTGCACAGAGATGCCTCTCCTCATGAGGAACAAATTTGCCTCAAGAACCCATAACTTTTCCGCCATTTTGAATTTTTTGAAACCACTTAAAATCGATCTCTTCCTAGGAAGTTTGACCGCTCTGCATGAAACTCGGTGAACATAATCTAGGGACCAATATCTAAAGTTCCCTCTTGGCAAAAGTTAGTTACTAAAACTGAGCTTCTATAAGGCAATGAATATTGCGGAGGGCGTGGCTCATCACATAAAGGTGTATAACATCATAACATCTCAAGGGTTTCTCTGATCACCACACAACTTTGTAGGCATATGACCACACATAATCTGAGGGGACCCCTCCATTATTGACCGCATCAAACAAAATGGGGGCGCTAGAGAGCTAATTTCTTTTCTAGGCCTAACCGCCATATTGATTTTTACTAAACTTGGTAGATATTTAGAACAGGATGCCTCAAGGTGACTGGAGAAATTTAACTCTAATTGGCAACTGGGTGTCGCTATAACAACAGAAAAATGCTTAAAAATGGCTAAAATGCGATCGATCGCTGTGGCTTTGTACTATCAAATTCACAAAAACTCTGTCTGAATACATTGCTCTTCTTAATGGTTTCAGTTGAATATTTCATCTGCAATTTCCTACGACCTGTATCCCAAACACACACCATGTGAAACTGTACGTGGGCAACTGTGCACTCAATGGGTATGGACGAGTATATAATATTTGAGTTTTTGGGCAAGTCCATAAAATGTTGGAGTGATTGGCATTCATGTGTCCACACTGTCTCCAGCACTGCTGTTGTAGCTGGGATAGTTTACTCTTAATGTGAGGTGTAACGAAGAAGCGGATCACATTTTTCCAGCCAAATTATCTCCATCTATTGGAAATTGAGTATGAGTGCTTGAGTGTTTTCCATATTGAATGCAAATCCTCTTGTGATATTTCTATCTCTAATTCTGTTTCACACTTAACTTTAATATTCCCAGTATTGTTCCCTTTCTGCTTCTGTATGCCCTGATATAATTTGGAATTTTTTTTTTACTGCCCTGTTTAAAAGCGTCAGTTAGAATCTTCATGACTGGATATCCCTCCTCAGACATCCCTGGTTTAGTCTCTTATTTGTAAATATCTGTAGAAATCTTTATTTTCAGATTCAAATTCCCCCATAGTTCTCAAAAACTCTTGAATTGATTCCCTTGAGGCAATGTGCACATTGCTGTAATGCCCTTATCTGACCATTGTCTGAATCCCATGTCAGTGATTCCTGGGATGAAGCTGGGGTGTAGGGCAGGCCAAGTTAAGATTTTGATGTCTCCCTTCATATTATACTCATTTACATCCTGCACCTGATGCTCAGTGTTTGCTTAATAATTTCATTATTTCTGTTATGATGCAGTTTGTTCCCTTTGTCTCTTAATGCTGCTTGGATTTAAGAAGTTTCTATATTGCTTTCTACATCTTTCCATTTAGTGCAGTACTGAGGGCAGGATGCACATACTAAGAATTATAGTTGTGCTGCAAAAAAACTCTCTGAAATTGGGCAGAGATAATCCTCCCTCATCCTGACTTAATTTAAGTGTTTTGTATCTGACCTGTGGTCTCTTACCAGCCCAAATAAATCTGGATAAGGCGAGCGTTTTTATAAATTTGCAACACGCCTGACACATGGTGCAGGTTATCTCATCTTCCCTCATGTTTGAATCTTTTTCAGGTATCTAATGGTGGAGACATGGAATCCTGTTTCAGTAGTTAGGAAGTAGTACATATACAAATCAGCCATTGGGGAACACACACATACTAGGTGAGCAGGGTCGTGTGGCTTTAGGACATGATGTAACCAGTGCTGCTGCAAGACACATCTCCTCTCATCTTTATTTTAGTCAAAGCCAAAGAGGAGGTACTTTCAATTTTCTTTTAAGAAGAAAGAGAGAAGCCTTTTTTCCCATTTAAGTTTCAGTTTCTCGGCTGGAACTTTCAGCTTGTATCACTGCCAAGCACTGCCGGTTTTCAAAGGTGTGGTGATTCAAACCTTTGCCACTTCCAAAATGCTGAATGAGTGGTATAACACTATAGTTCTTGTCCAAAGACTCTTAAACACATGAACATTATGACATTGACCATTGCTGATGTCATCAAATCTTAAACCAATGAAGTTTAAAAAAACACACAAACTAACACTGCTGACACCCCGCCCCCTATCCACAGACACTTGTTTCATCTTGTCAGGTTGTGGCTACATGCACAGGCATAATAAGTTTCCTTTAGCACAATCGAAACTAAGAGACTAAGACCAAATGAGCATTAATAATGGACTAATTTGGAAGAATGTTTAAGTACATCTTGCCCTCGTTCATACTTACGCATGCAGGCTAGAAGCTAAACCTCAACTTCCTTAAGTTTAGAACTTAGATTGTGGGAAGAGTAAAATAAAATAATAATAATAATAATAATAATAATAATAATGATAAGAATACGTATAATAATAATAATAATAATAACAATACTTATAATAATAACTTACACATTTGAAGTATAATGTCTTCTTTGAGTATGAATGATCTTTCAAAAATCTACATCCAGGATCCCATATGGCATCAAGACGGCAAACTCCAAGCTCAGCACTGTCTGCCTCAGTGTAGTCTTTTTTTCTCTCTTGTTCCTCCCACTCCAGTGCATTCAAGTATTCCGTGCCATGCATGTTTGGACTGGTTGTTGTTGGATTGCCTGCCATCTGGGAGCAAAGTTAAAATAACGCAATAATGTGATTTTACAGCATGAACAGTTATTCAACAGAAAAGGCTACCTACTTCATATTGTCATACTGATTTAAAAAAACAAACAAACATGGCTGTTCGATGGGAATTGGGGTGGCATCCAGCAAAGGGCCATGGGTTGAAATCAAGTCTGCTGTGTCATGTTTCAGTTCAAGGAGGACCCAAATGAACACAAACAGACCTGTTGACATTTTACCAAAATGCAAGCTTTAATACAGCTGGAAAAAAACACCCCATCCAGATTCAGCAGGTAACTGAAAGTCCAAATGAAAGCGGACCAAAAAAGAAACAGAAAAACCAATCCGGAAAAATACAATGACAACATCGACAACACAGGGACGAGCACAGGAATAACGCAGGGTTGAACTCGGGATGAACATGGGAGGAACAGAGGCGAACTGACAAAGAGCACACAGGTATATATATATCTATACACACAAAAAACTAATCACAAGAACGAGACAGCTGGATTCGGACGACATGGGCAAAAGGAGGTAAATGGAGATTGGCTAACAACAAGGGTGTGGAGGGGAACACTTGGGTGAAGAGAACAAGACTAATACAGAACAAGTGTGAAGGGAATACTCTAGGAACAGGGAAAGACTAACGAGACAGGTTTGACAGAAAACTGGCGCTAAAACTCACAAAGACAGGAAGTAAAACCGGATACGACACATGGAGAGAATTTACAAAATAAAACAGGAAGCAGATTCAAAATTAATAGATAACATGAAACAAAGAACACAAAAAGAAACTCCTAAACAAAGTCCATAGGATAGCACAATATATACAAACCCAGGATCATGGCACGTTGCTGCTGTGGCAAGGACACAGCCTTTGTACATGAGGCGCCTGCTCTCCCAGGTGAGCTAGTGCCCCTATTTGAAGTGCAGTAAAGACCAGCTCAAGAAACGAAAATGAAATCCATCTCTGCTTTGGGGTCCAACCAGAAACCAAAACTTAACAAACTTACTATTACTGTGAGCATTTATGTACAATACACATGCCAACCTTGCGTTCTTATTTCACAGAGGTCATGTTGACACGTCACAGTAGAAAAAAACACAGATGTAAATAATAAAATGAATGATGGTTGAGTTCCATTTAGCTGCCTCAGTTTCAGCATCCTGGTGTAGTTCATGATGGTTCACGCACATCATTTAAGTGGGACACTTGAACAGAAGGTAGCCATTGTTAAGGTCATTAGTGGCAACTGTGGATTTCCTTTCTGATTTCAACTTCACTTCAAGTCACTGGGAAGAGACTCTTGAACTGGGACAGTCAGGTGCTCCTCAGGACTTATGGACAGCTTTGTGAAGCTGGTGGTGATGTCTTCTCTCTGAAACAGTTGCTTTAAGGGTGTCTCTGAATTCCACCCTCGGGTCTTGGCAAACTTGTAAACAGATCCAAAGAGATCAGGAAACATCGTCATCACATCAACTTGGGCTGCATCTTCCTCACTGCAATCAAAAAGGAATATTTTAACGTAAAGTAATAATGAACACCCGGCTTACAAATATTTGATAGTCATTTAATTTGTGAATGACATCCATGATCTAATCTAATTGATCTCTTTTGGTATCAAAGGAGATAAAAAGCTGGACATTTAATTCAGAATCATGATTAAACTCACACCAAAGTATCAGTGAAACAGTGGGGAAACAACATCAACAACTACAACTTGTCAAAATGACAAAAGCTCCATCTTCAGAGCATATTCTCACACTTTTGTGATTTCTGCCTTCAGCCCAATACAATGAAGGAGAATGGGATTTTGTTTGTGGAGCTCAGGGGAATGAAAAGTTACAACTGACAAAACTGACTTACTAGTGCTCATGGAGGTTTCGTATGAAGCGCAGTAATCCCAGTGTGTTTGCAGGATAGGGTTTCTTCTTGCCATCCAACTTCTGGACCAACTGTGGTGGAAACTGTAATGCCAAACCTTGGTTATGATTATAGATAATGAAGTGGACCTCAGGAATACAAACTAGTTAGGTTCCAAATGAAGAATGAAGTTGTTATGTTGCAGTCACCTTATCTTTCCACTGTTTGAAGGATCCATCCTCAGCACATTTTTCCAGTGAAGAGATCAGTTCCTGGTCAGCATTTCGACAGTTTTCAACCTCCTTCCTGTTTCCACTCTTTCTCAAGTATTCAACTTTCCTGAAAAATAAAATTACATTTTGAGTGCATGTTTGACAAAATATAAACAAGGTAAACCATTTTGTCATATCGTACTGATAAAACAATTGTGGTATAGAGAAGCCATGGAATTAGTCGACAGGGAAATAACAGCAATTGAAGAAGAAGAAACTGACTTTAGGTAAATTATTTCCAGTGTTAAGGAGTCGTAAACTACATGTAATTAAACTAGTAGTTTAGCATGCTGATGATACCATTTAGCTGAAAGCACCTCTGTGTGCCTTTGAGAACGACCTCACAGAGCCATGGACATCATGTTAGACTCTCAGTCTTGTCTCGTTCTTCACATCACTACTCTATTCCATTACTTTTTGTATGTACAACTCAGTGAATCACCATGAATGCTTTTGAGAAAAGACTGTTAGTGGGCATTGTCCCAGCTTGCACACTTTATTGCATAGAGACCACAAAGACATGCAAAAGACATGAAACTGTCTGAGAGCAAAAGGTTGACATTTTTGGTTCAGGATAAAAAGGTGCATCACCTGGGAACCATGAATGTTTGTTCCAAATTTGGTTCCACTCTATCCAGTAAATGTAGAAATACAGTATTTCACTCTGGACCAAAGTTGTAGAACTACCAAATGACTGACGATGAATTTCCATTTCTTTCTCACCTTTCAGAGGTCCAGAAGAATGGATGACTCAAGCATTCCTCCACTTTAGGTCTGTTCTTTGGTTCTTCATGGATCATCCCCTCAATTAGATCTTTTGCTACCACATCTTGAACATGGTCCAAACTGTACTTCCCTTTATCAATGTTGTTCTCTCATTTTTGAGTTTTGTCACCGAAAGGATGGTGTCCTCCAGAGAGGATATAATAAGTGAGCATCCCTGCCACCTTAAAAATAAAAATATTTTACCAGTTAAGTTAGTATTTTTCACAAAGTCATTAATGAAGTTTGTGTAGCAGAAAAACTGACCTGTATATCAGTGTTCGACTTGTAAGGTATGTCGCTATCATCTGCCAAAGTTTCCTTGGCCATCCAGCATCTTGTTCCTGCACTGCCTGTGCGATAAGTTGTTTGTCCTTTGGCTAAACGTCTGCTTATGCCAAAATCAGCTAATCTTGCCCTCCCATTAACATCTGCAGAACAAATCAGGGGGATAAACTCAGGAAACAAATTAAGTACAATAATAAAGATTTTTCCTGAATTTCAGACAGTGGAATCCATCATTTCAGTGTATTTTGAACTTGTCTTACCTATCAAAACATTCTGTGGTTTGAGATCCCGGTGGAGAATTGGAGGACTTTGACCATGAAGCACCCTTAAACTCTCAAGGACCTGATACACAAGACTCTTCCTCAGCAGCCAATCATATTTATTTTTTATGCATTCTTCCAGGGTGTATTCACACAGTTGAAGACCAAGATATCCAAAGTTCTCATCCTCTGCAATGTCAACATATCGCACAATAGATGGATGATCCAGCTCTGGAAGTCGCAGGAATCCTTCCTCATTCTTCAGCTCCTGATAGTTGCATTTAGTCATTTTCTTAATAGCAACTTCAGTGCCGTCATCTCTCAGCCCCAAGAAAACTTCAGTGCCATCACTTCCCTTCGCTATGCGGAACTCTGCATTGTTCACATAAATCATGCTCCCAACTCTGGTGACTTTACTTTCATCAGTGCTCAGAAGTTTTTCCAGTTGTACTCTCCACCTCTTGCTGATTTGTAGCCATTTGTGTTTTATTGATGACATGGTGGTGTTGATGTGGAATGGCTTCACATTTTAAGTTGATTCCATGACAGGAGTTGCTGTTTGATCAGTTGTGGCAGTGCAAACTTTATCGATTGTTTTTTCTTGCTTTTCTGTCTTTCCCCTCTTTTTCTTCTTCTTTTTCTTCTTTTTCTTGGATCCAGGTGATGCTTTAGAGTCTTCACATTCTGAGTTTGGTTTGCTGAATTGATCTTTCAGTCGTCTGAGCACCTCTTTCAGCTTGTCATTCATTTTCATGTCTGCAGATGTCAGTATGTCCTCAGGTACTGAAGTTATCCCCACTGATGGAAAGATGTTGGCCGCATGTTTAACTTAAAGTAAGTTTGCAAATATGCCGTATGTGAAGACTCTGATGTCAGAGGAGTGCTGGTCCTTTATAAAAGGAGCAACTGTTTGGCATAACTTCTCAACGAAGTTGGGATCCCAGCCATTTGTGTCTTTTGTCTTCTGTGTTAACACATATAGTGTTTGCAGAGCAAGTTGACATGTATCATGTCTCTTATTTGAGCCAAGCTGTTTCAGTAGATGGGGGATTATAGCCAAAGCCTGCTCATTTGGTATGTCTTCCACTTTGCAGAAAACTGCATGTAAACTGGAAACTGCGTGAACGACATAATCCTGGGGAATGTTTGGGAAACGACTGACTGCACCTGCAATGTAGGAGTTCAGGTTGCCAGTGTCCTTCAGCCATTTAATACTTGCCTGGCGGTATTTTTCTGCATCCAGCCCATTTACATTAAAGAGTACTTCAATCATTGCAAGACGGTTCTGGGGATCCTCCAGCAGCATGTGACTGTGAAAAGTTTTGAACACTTCTTCGAGCGGTTTCCCTCGCACTGCAATTGCCACATCCATAAAATATCTGATCTTGGAGCAAAACTTATTTCCATTTGATGCAAGGTTATGAACCATCTGAGATATTTTTTCATTGTGAATATTTTGTTCAGGATCAGTGACAGGCAACAGTGGTATCGGTGCACCAGCAGATATGAGCACTTTCATGACATCATCCCTGTCACTGATGGCAGCAGTTTGCAGTGGTGTGATTCGTTTTTTGGTATTTGATCCATTTGGATTAGCTTTTGCTTCAAGCAGTTTCTCCACAAAAAAGAGTGGTGCTTTGGATATTGAGACATAATGCAAAGGTGTTAAGTTATTTTGGGAAGCCTTGTTTGGGTCTGCACCTTGTTGCAAAAGGAAAGTAAAAATATCTCTGTTGTGATTTACAACAGCAGCAGTCAGTGGGGTTATGTAGTCATTCCTCTCTCTGCATGGATAAACGTCATTAATGTTGTTGTCCTTAAGTATTTTTTTGAGCTTCTTGAGGTTGTTGTTAATAATACACTGTATTATGGGATGTGTTTCTGTTGGGGGGACTGGAACTTGGAATTGTGTGGAGAGATGGATTGATGGAATTTGAAAGATACTCATTTCTTTACTTCAGAGGAACTGTAAAAAAAAAAAAAAAAGACAAAATGATGATGTTACTGTCACATTTGGTGCCATTTTAAACTTCTGACAAGTAGCCAAAAGCTCTCATTGGAATTAAGGGTTCATGATATTTATTTCATTTTCAAGTGTAATTTGTCTGTGCTTTAAGAAGCACAAACCAAATTCCATTTACCACCATTGTATTTAGATGGGTACAGAAGATGGATAACCCAAAACTGAGGGCAACTTAATCAGAAAGCCTCAACATGGCTACATACAGTACTGTTGAAAAAGAGGTGACATAAATCACCAAGGTTGAGATTTACAAACCCCTCAGCCAAATACTGACATGTACGCAAAATAATTTCATCCTACCACTTGAAAATTCACCTATATTTGCTGAACATCAGATTGAGCAGTAATTTCATTTGGAAACAAATACAGTCAAGTGAGCACTGGTCCTGAATTCTACAGTTGTCAATGCTAATGATTTCATAGTTTTTACCTGCTATTGCACAAAGAGCGCCACACCTTGCCGTCATTGACTGTTTTAGACTTTGAACTTCCTCATTCAGTCCAGAAACCAGAATAGAAACTTTGATTGTGCACAGCTGTGACATGTCTATGAATATTATTTTTGGTTGTAGTAGGTACATGGATGAAATACTGTTACCAAACAAACGCTCATTATGATATCATATACCCATAAGGATGGATTATGAATAACAGTAAAGCAATATAAATGTACTTCTCTAAAGCAATGCTGATTATTTCACAATGCCATTTTAGGAAAAATATTAGAGGATTATAGAAACATGTACTTACAATGTTGACGCTGTCTGATGCAGTAATATTTATATCTACCAAAACTTAACATCCTGTGCTTTTTCTGTGTTTCTGTCTGTCACTCTGACGCCGCGTTTTCTCATTCTGCCCCTCTCTCTGTCTCTGTCGCTCCTCCCATTTACAGCCACAGGTTGGATGTGACTTGCTGGGAGAGATGGGTTGCATTTCCACAGAAAATGGAGGGACATGCCCCTTTCACTCTCTGTGTGTTGTTCTCTGACTGTTCAGTCACCAAAGTCCAGTACTACAGTATGCTCACTGACATATTCCTCAGGAGTTGAAGGACCTTTTCTTGTTCAGTTAGAAAAACAAGGTCATCTGGTAAGAGTTCAAAGTCTAAAGGTGTATAATTCTGCTGGTGTATGATGCTTTGCAGGAGACTTTGACATTCTGATGGAGTGGTTCATCAAACCAACACAGCTGAACACATACAATGTAGATATGAAGCCTGCTGAGTTGGCAGGGTATCAACTGTTTTGTACTGGAGTGCACCATTTCATTGGAGAAAGACAAATTATGTAACTCTGTAATATAGGCACACACATGTGATGATTGTGTATAAAGTAGTATTGTGGTGGTAAAGTCGGACTGGGGTTGATTTCAGAGGGGACAGGGCCATCTTATTAGCCCCAGCATATGAAATGGTGACATCATATTGTGTGTATTGATAAATGCTGGGCAGGCAGTGTACAGTGGCTTTTTTTTTTCCTTTTGGGCTAAAAACAGCGGCAAAACTGAACCCAAATAGTAAAGCTGCTGTCCATAAAACCAAAACAAATGCTGAAAGACACCAAAATGCTCAATAGAACTGAGAGGGCCTGCCATCGTTTTAATGTACTATGGATTTTGTTATGATGAGTGACCTCTTTCACATTAACATACTCGCATCAACATAAAAATATTGATTGGTGCAGCTTTACAATCCCTATGGCCTTTGTTAAGGAAGTATAAGAAATTTTCCAGTGAATGATAAAACACTTGTTACAATCATACTTTTACACATTTATTTTGATACTCAAATGATTAGATTTACAGTATATTTTGAGAGTAACATTCAATATGCTCAAAACAAAATCATATAAAAGAATCTGCATTTTGTCAAGCTTGCATATTCCATTATGTTTTTTTTTGTTTTGTTTTTTTTTTAAATTACAATACCATTCACGTAATAAGTAGAAGCACTTTAAGACTTCTCAGTTTGTTAGGTTCATCTAAAAAGAATTTGGCAAACACCCTTTTTTGAATGTCATGCTCTTGCAAGCTGCAATAACGATTTATTTCTTTTTAAGTAAGTGCAAAGATCTGTTTAGGTTTCCGTGTGACAAACAGGTAGTGGCATTGCAGTCCATCTTTTTTTTAATGTACATTTTGTCGCTTGTAAGTCAACATTCAGCATTTGTAAGAACAGAATGACAGACGGAAAAAGCCTCTCAACTTGGGTGAATATATTTACATCATCATCATTTTTTTGACAAAAGCAAATATGTCCTTTTATCAGATTTGGATATTTGAGTCCACTGACTTCTGCGGTGAAGAGACTTTTTGTTCATCATAGTCTAAAAAGAAAAGTTAATTATGTCAGTCAAACAACTGTGGTTATTTTTTCAAACTTGTAAGTAGGTTTAATTTCCCTGACATCACCTAAACATTAAATGGATAAAAAGAGCTCCTATCTGCCACCTATAGTTCCTCTGGACTAAAAGGTTCCTCCATTCACATTTATTAGTCTAAAAAGGCATTAGCTATATCCGGTCCTGAATATTTCACCTTCTAAAACAACAAACCACATCTTCATTTTTTACTGTACGCAGTATAATCTATAGCACCTACAGTAACATTTTCCACGTAACAACTACACTCTAAGGGCTGGGGTCTCAGCTACGATAATTAAAGGTTTGTGCTTTCAAGACATTCCCTGTATGGAAAAAGCAAAGGGGTGTGATACTTTATCACGGCCAGAGGGAGGCACTGTGGGCCCATCAGAACACAGAACCCCAGTGCAGATAAGGCAACAAACTGTACATTACCACACGGTATGGAGACATGGGGTAAGTGGCACATAGATGAGCGACCACACCTGTTACATGCCCTAAATGAGAACAAAACAATATTAGTAATATGATTTTTCACTCAGGTCCTGTTGTATATTTTTTGGGCATAAAACCACGAGCACAGGAGATTAAACTGAAGTGTATTCGTCCAAATAGATAAAATTATATTTCATATTTATGCCCTCAGGAATGTCAGCGGGATTTCTAGAAGAATACCAGCCTCCTCGTACAACTGCGCACCCTCTTGACTCCCCCTCTCAGTCTACGCGAAATAGTAGGGTCTCTGAAAGTCTGAGACCATGTGAACAGATGATAGGACAAGGCCATTGAAAAATAGTCAAGAAACCCTAAAAACTAAAAGGATCCCAAATGCCACTTGACCCAGCTCTTACTTTTGACAGATAGATATGGAGGAATTGATATTTAACAGTTTGTTAAGTCTGTTCTGGTCCTTTTTTTTCCCTTCACAAATGGATCTTTTTAGTGGAAGACGTTCGATTGCAGGAAGGGCAACAAAGCACAGCCCCTCACAAGCTCAAGTCAATGATGATGTGCTCAAAGATCTGTGTGTTTCCCTTGAAGCTAGAGGTGAAGATGAAGTCCCTGCGGTCAGTGGAAACCACAGTGAAGGAGCGTGGTGCCTGGATATACACCTCCTTGAAGCGGTCAAAGAGTTTGTTCTCATCATCCCACAGGTAGATCTGTGAAAAGGTGTAATCACTCCCGAGGGCCAGGTAGTAACGCTCTTTGAAAGAGAACGGCTGAAGAATCATGGAGCCTCGTGAGGGTAAGGCCTGGATCTCCGCAAACTGTTTGGCACCCCAACGTAGTATTTTAGAGTCACCAATATAGCGTGTCATAGCCAGGTAGAGTTCTTCCTTGATCCGGAAGTGCTTTACAGCTACAACATCCTCCATGTTGGGGATCTCACCCTGCAGGACAAACTTCTGGTTGCTGCGGCTCCACTGGTAGATCACAGGCACCTGTGAGCGGCTTGCCAGGATAAGGTGGGCCTTCCCATCTAAGTCCAAGAACTCTGCATCTGTGTCGCGGTACCACTCATGTAGCGACTGGTATGAATAAAAGCCCTTATCGTTCCACTTGTAGAGGGTGGACAGGCCCGCTTTGGAGCTGTCAGCAATCACAAAGAACCAGTCCGAGCCAATCTGGAATGCCTCAATGTCATTGGGCTTGGAGATCTTGGACACCTCAATGTCCTGGAACTTGCTGAACCTGCTTTGGTCTTCATCAAACTTGTAGATGTGGGAACCACCAAAGAGCTGAGCCACGATGACAAAGACTTGGTCCTGGATGACAACTGACTTGCACCCCACAATAGATTGACCTAGAAGGCAAGGAAAAGGAAACGAACAGGCGTATAACATGTAAAACTCAACCATGGTATTCTGAAACAGTTTGTTGGGGGATTGCTGTACCTGTGATGTTATCATAAGTCCTGAAGTTCATTTCTATGTGGTCCCATTGGAAAACCATACAACTCTCTGCACTGGGGGCAGCAATGGTCACATAGACATCATTCTTATAGCTGAATGTGTCAACAGACAGAGACTCAGATGCCACGGACTGATGGAGGACAAAATCTGTGGAAAGGCAAATTCTGATTTTCATTTTCTACAAACAAAAATTCTAAAAGCAAAGCCCCATTAAAAGAATGACCAAAGAAAAGTACATCTTTTCTTTACACTTCTTTGGATGACCCAGTTGAGTCGCGTGATACTGATGCCAGCTAGAACAGAGACAAGGCCAGCTGGCTCAGGTGTTTCTCACCCGTTGAGATGCATTCTTTGTGCAGACTGGTCATATCATTGAGCCGCTTGTCCTTCATGTCCTCCGGTCCAGCACACACGACATCTGACACTGTGGCATTGGTGTTCTTCAGCCACGTCATCAGCCACTTGGCACGGCAGTCACACTCAAAGGCATTGCCTCGCAGGTCCCTGCAGGAGAGGAGTACTGTATATCAGGGCAGATAAACAAAGCAAACAAGCAAGAAGGCACCAGGAAAAAGGAAAAGGAAGAATTTTGCTTGGAAACTTGGATACATTTTTGTCACAGATTATGAAAAGGAAAGCAGAGGGCACTATTTGCATACTTTTCCAACACTTACAGCTCTATCAGTGAGTCCAAGTCGATGAAGAGATCCCTGGGCAATGCTTTAATGTTGTTGTTTGCCAAAGACCTAGAAACAACAGCAATGAATCAATACAGAAAATTGCACCTATTTAGAATATCACGAATCCATCACAGGAAAATAGAAAAACATGATTCACATTTATTGTGTAGAAGTCAAAGTAATATTTAAAGGTCTGGACAACTCTGACATAAAAAACTTGATATAATTCTGATATATCTCCATTAATGTTTGTCACTGTTATCCTTCTTCCTAATGAAACAGTGACCTAATTTGCATCACTTAAAATAGTCAAATTTCTATACATCAAAATCATCTTCGCAAATTAATCTTACAAATTAAACATTTTAACAATGTTGAGAATGATTTTAAAGGTTGGAACATACAAGTGTGTCAAGTCCCTGAGTCCTCTGAAGGCATATTTGGCTGCAGTCTCAATCTTATTACTCTCAATGAACCTGTGGAAGATAACAAAGCATGTTAGTTATAAGCGATAAAAATACTGCACCTTTTTAAAATGAATAATGCTGTTTCTCATTTTCGGGGTTTTCTTGTCTCAGAAAGAATCACTTTGACTTTTATGAAAAAAATAACTTGACACAGTTGTGTAAAAACTACCAATACCATCTATACGTGCTGAAAAAAATGATTTGTTATTTACAAGGCTTTGGCTTTCAGGATATTGTAGATACTGTATTGGTGAATAGAGTACATATTTTTCGTTAACAAATATGGCAAATTTCAGTTCAATCAGGCTTGAGGATTGTTATGAACTTAAATAAACACACTATTTTCCAAACTGCCTGTGATGCCAGCAACAATAGTGGTTCAGAATCGTATCATTATTATTATTCATTTATTTAGAAATTGTTTGTGGGCAAATGGGTGAAGAGTCTTTGAACCACCAGAGGGCGTACGATCGATACTTCACTGCCTCATTCACCCTCTGAAAGACCAACATCCAACCACATACAGTAACCTCTTGTCCATACTGACACTCCTGGAAGACTATTTTACGATGTCAGACTGAAGTGTGCGGCTGTATCCAGTTATAACTGAATAAATTAATGTTGTACACGTGTTTTGTTATTGCACTGATTCACTGAATGTCTTTGATTTAAAAAAAAAAAAAAAGAAGAAGGAAGAAATACTTACAGATACTCCAGATGTGGAAGGCCTGAGAATGCATCATCCCTTACAGTTGTTAGAGAATTGGAATTCAAAAGCCTGTCATGAAAAATGAAATTCACATTAACAGATGCTGGCTGCCAACACAATGCACTGTTAAAGCCTCTGACTGAAAAACACGATGAAGTTTCTCAGATGTGATTCAGCATTCAGTGATCGGAAAGCTCTCAGCCCAACTCTTACAGCTGACACGTGAAGTCGAATGTGAGATGAGTAATTATATCACTATAATTATGATTCATGGCCTCTATCTCAATGTCAGTACACTAGTGGTCCTGGTAAATGTCAAGACAAACACAACTTTCCAAACAAACTCTATGCAAAAATAGTGTTCCTACTTGAACTTAAACATAACCCTACTTGAACTTAAACATAACCCCTAGGGAAACAATCAATTTTAAGGGGAATAGTGGGGCAAAGCTTGGCAGCAGCCACTACAATATGTTTAGCTTTAAATCATCCTGTGTGTTATGATTTGGTTCCCTGTATCTGCCACGCCTTTGCTTCTGCTGGCATCACAGTCATCACTCGTGGAGTACCAAAGGAGATTGATGGCCTCTGGAAAGTACAATATGGCACTGAAAGCTTTTCAGGTGTCCAGCCTTTTACAACCTCCCCCTGCTAATTGCTTTCACCAAACAGACTTTAATGTATGTGTATTAAAGTAAGGCACAGCAGAAAGTTAGATGCTGGACATATGTGTGTTTTATGTGTAATGATTAGGGTTTTGCATGTGTTGCAGCTTAGGCGTGCACAGCCAGGTGAGTTTGTCAGGGCAAACACCCACATTAAAGACACATCTAAGTTTTGAAAGTCAGCAATTTGTTTTGGAATTCATTTGTCTGCACGGGATCCTTTGCTACAAGGTTAGGGAAGCTCCTAAAAATCGCACAGTACAGAGGAGTGATATGCAGCTGAAGTGCTCTTACAGTAGCTGGAGGGATGGCATGTGGGCAAACATTGCCTCTTTGACCTCGGAGAAAGTCCCATTGACAATACTCCTGAAAGGAAGAGGCAGAAACGCTGATCATAAAGCCACCAGAGCAAATGAAAATGCTGAAAAGTGATCAGTCAGAGAAAATGGAAAGGACTGCAATGCCTTTCAACATCAGCTCTTATTAAGATTGTGTACATTATAAAAAAAAAATACAGCAAGGGACAACTGGTATGTGATAAGCCTGAATGTTAAATAAAAACAGTATATTTAGAGGTACTCACAGAGAGCTGATGTCGTTGAGGCTAATCCTTGGGACATAGGAGGACCCGACGCAAATGATGGACTCCCTGGAGCAGCTGCATGTTGAAGGACATCGGAAAACCTTCTTTAAATGACCCGGTTGAGACAGGAAACAAAGCGACACGGAAAACAATGCCCAAATCTTGAGAGTTGGCAGCATCTTTCTTGCCGGGCGTGCATGTGTGAGCTTTTTCTGAGAGCACCGATCGAGGCAGATGGCACCGCGCGTTTACACCCTGCACCATGAAATGCTGCACTGGCTCCCTGACATCAGCAAATCAGCTGCAGCTCCCCTCCGTCCACTTTCATTATTTATTAAGTCAGAGCTCCAGTCGGGTAACTGTTGGTTAAACAACCATGCGCCATACATCGGGGGGGGGGGGGGGGGGGGGGGGGGGGGGGGGGGGGGGGGGGGGGGGGGGGGGGGGGGGGGGGGATAAGGCAGTATTAGGCTGCTTGTGGCCACAGATCACCTGAACATGTCATATACAGTAATGCTGCTTTCAAAGACGCGCTTCAAACATGGTTATTTAAATAAAGGTGGCATTTATGAAAATACAGACGAGTTTTACTGTATTAGCGCGTGTGGTCAGGCTTGTATATATATGTATATAGATTTCCAAAATAAATTTCTAATGACGTCAGTTGTGTACACATGCACAAGCTGGTGCCGATTTTGACGTAATTTCTCACCTATCTCGGTTATTTCTGACACACAATCAAAGGCAGTCTCTTTATGAAGCCAGCCTGTGTGACCAGAGAGGAAGTGATATACTGTTACTGAGGGGAATTTAAATACAGTCAGCTGTACAGTACCCCTCCTCCATACTGAGGATCCGAGAGGCGCATAACTGCAGCACCATGGACAGCGCCTCTGCTCAGCTGCTGGGGCTCTTCAGCTGGATACAGTGATCATCCCAGTGCCTGCATCTGCAGTCAGAGTATACACTGACAGGATATGTGGGGACATCTGCAGCCTCAAATATTTTTTTAGACTGCTAGAAGTGGAATTCGGGACTTTAGTGAAAGGTAGACACTGTTAATACTGTTTGAAAACTTAAAAATAAAACCTATTGGTTAAAAATAAAAGTTAAAAAATGACTTGTGACACATATGCAAAGGAGCCCCAGATAGTTCTTAAAAAATTAAAAAAATAAATCTAAAAAAAATGATTGCTATTTGAAACGACCTATTCAAAGAAACACTTTAAAACAATACCACTAAAAAAGGAAGAAAAAAAAAAACACATAATTGTTGCAGTTGTCAAACCTTCATTGTCAATTTTGTCAACAAAATGTAATGTATGAAATGATCCACTGAGCTTCTTTCACAGACTTACAAGAGAAAAAAATTCCAGTTCCTGATCATCTGTACACCACAATATTTCAGGGTTTTATCGAGCCATTTCATGTACAAATTGACATTCTTAAATTATCACCATATATGTTTCATACTAAAGAAAATGTCACTTTCAAAGCGCAGAGGAAGAACAGCAGCTCTTAACTGGCTGCTAGATAATCAAGATTGAACATTACATGTTTAAAATTCATTAATTTATTTGCATTTATTAAGGGTTCAAAGCAGTCCAGAACAGAGCTGACAATGTTTCACTGCATCTTCAGTCTGCATTTGTCAATGTGGTGCTAAATGAGTGCGTTTGTTTCCATTGAAGCCATTTTTTATACATTATTTTATTCCTACTTACATGCAACAAACATAGAAGATTGTTGTTGACATGTTAACTTCTACTAGATATGTTAGAGATTACATACAAAATAAAATTAACTTAAAATAAATAAAATATAATTATATATGTTTTGTGGATTCTTAACAATTAAGTAATTACTGATAATTTATTTGATTGGCTATTTCAAGTGACTCTTAAAAGCAGAGCCAGGTCAATACTCATTCTATAAGTAAGAAGCAGAGAAGGCCAGTGTTGTTGTACCAGCCAGGCCCGATGTCACTACTGCTCCCAGTCTGGTAATCCATGACCCTTGTTGGTTTGGTAAACTGTGACCCCTTTGGTAACAACTTGGTTAATCTGTGGCCCTGTTTGTGCCACTATGGCACTTCATCATTGCCAAACTCTACCTGGCAGCTGCTGAGAGCCTAGAGCAAGGGGCCATTTGTCATCCAGCAGCATCCCTGGGGTACTTACACTTATGATTGAGTGTGTGAGAGCAGACTTAGGAGGAATATTTTCAGGCAGTCTGTTTTGTTGAGGAGGAATGGAGGTAAACAATCATTGGGGTTTGAGGGGAACAAGAGGCTGCGAGTGTCTTTTGCCAAGTTTCATCATGTAATTTTGACCATTTTATTTTTACCTGGGCTGTTTCGTTATTGCAACACTTGGCATCTGATGCACTGATAACTGGATGCTGTGTGCAAGATTTTCAGTGGCAGACCTTTTCTGATTTACACACTGCAGCACACTTGATCAATAGGGGAGGAGAGGCACAAAAAAAGCGGATCTGACGCTCTTGGTTCCCCACGGCGTCTCTGCAACCTCAGCAAAAGATGGGGAAACCTCTCAAACTGGTGACGGCAGAGAGGAGAGATTTCCCCCCCCCCCCCCCTTTCCTGAGGCAGTGAGCATGTACACCAAATGTTCCATATGCTGAATCTGTCAGACACATCACTCACAGCTGATTATTACTTAATTCTGACCAAAGCTGATGCAAGATTTGCTGCGACAAAAGAAGCCAACATCAAGAGAATAGCTTTTATGTGAGTGCGGCACTGTACCAGAGCCGTCACAGTGTTTTTCCACTATATTTCGTTAATGGTTCAGTACAGCCTGGGAACAGTCAAAGTGTGCTGATACAGCACCCTCGCAGTATCTATCTGACTCCAGTCCACTCTCATAGGCTGCTGGGTGGATTGGTTGTGCTGTTGCTATTGCTATACATGCATCCAACTGCAGTTACAAAAACAACATGCATAATACTTTGCTGTACCCAACCCAAGCTGAGTGTCTCAACTCCAGAGCATGCAGCAGCATCTACTTTACATGCCCCAAGCTTTCTAACAAGCAACCTTGATAATTTGCAGCACATGAAGGGGAGGGCACAGGAAGAACTTGGACAGTTAAGTATCGAAATATAGATTAGTCATCATCAGTCAGTGAGGCTTTAGTAGGAGTCTATTTTTGTGCCTCGGGGCACTACTTGCTCTGCTTTCTAATGACTGAGACTGGAGAGCAGGGGGAATGAGACAAAAGACGCAAGAAAACCTGACTGACGATCAATTCCCCTAGTGAAGTTGACTGAAATCCAAATGCTGTATAACAGTAATAGTTTAACACCTGACTCCCCATCTCTTAAATTGTTCAACAGATAGTTTGGATTTTTTGTAGTGGGGTTTAAAGACCCCAAACTATCCCTTTAATGCAACATAAAGGTGAGGTTCAGTGAACCTTTCCTAAACACAGGAGTCATCTGTGTTTGGTGTACTTCATTGATTATCTGTACCCTGCGATCGCTTTCACAGCCTGAAAGTAAATGAGCTAATCCAATACACTGAGTTCAAATGGAGTGCAGATAATGGCTCAGCGGCTTTGTATCACATTACACCACACTGCAGAAGACATGGCACAACATACTACATTATAAAGCTATATTGTTTCACATATCAATATGGTGGAAAAGCATAATGTGTTCCCAAATATAGATAGCCATGTGTCTGCCTGACGTTAGCAAACAAAAAAAGAGGAAACACACTTAATTATATTCCAGCATTGATTTCAAACTGGATGGTGTGCAGAATATGTAATCCCATAACTGCACTGCGGAGACTTAAGATGGGTTTAATTAGGAGACATAACACACAGAAAGTACATGCCATATAAATGGTTGATCCATTATCCATTTAACGAAGCATTTTCAGCATATACAGACAACAATCCAACGCTTTGGTCTAACTATAGATCAGTGGTGAACGACCATATGCTCCCGAGGAGCATTTGTATGCAGCTTGTGTCCTTACAGTATCTACTAATTAGCTTCACAGAGGAGGGAATTAATCAGTGACATCAGCTCGTGTCACTTTGTTTGTAATCCTGCACGCAGTTTCATCGCCAGCTGTTGCTGAGCTCGAGTCTTTGACCTGATAACAAAATCTGGATTGATAATCCATAGGTGAGTTCAAATCACAGTTAGAGTAAAGTTCAGGCAGCAGAGGGCTCAAACTAAGCAGAACTCACTTCGTCTACACTTCCTGTTAAAGTTGCTTCAGCTCAGTCAGTGCCTCTCCATTAGTGCCTTCCTGGCTCTGTGGAAGCACTGGCGAACTACTTTTCATGCTGTCTCCCTCTTTCTTCAGGGTCTTCAGGCACTTGTCAAGCCTTTTGACGCACAGTGTCACATCTTCTCGAGTGATACCCACAGCTGCGGCGGCATTGAGATAAGGACAGGGGTATGCCTCAGAGTGCGACATGAAGCCGCGAAACGTGTGTCCGCTTACAGTCTGCTCCTTGCCCAGTGGTATCACCCTAGAGACATGGGTGAAAAACAAGGATAATGTGGCAGAATAATGATTATTTGACCTGCTGGGACACAACTACAATTTCTTACCTTTAAAAACAATGACCTTGCTAAGGCCTTAGTTACTCACTTGAAATATAACGACTAATATTTAAACAAAAAAGTGGACAAATTAACTGCAGTGAAGGCAGCAGCCTAGGCATTCAATTAAAACATTTACTACACTAAACTAAACATTTTCTAACTATCTAACTAGTCTAATTAGAAGTGCTGCATTATTTTGTTTTCACCAACAGCCACATCACCCACGACTCTGTGCCTCCTGTCTATCACGTCTAACGTGTGGGAAACCATAAAGTGGTATTTAAAAGAATTTTTCAAAGATGATCGTTCCTCACTTACACAGAAAACGATACTCTTAATGTCATATGTGATGTATATTTCACTGGAAATGCTTAATATTTCTGTGTTGAATTATTCACTCTCGTCCTAGCTACGTTTTGGTCTCCAGCCCCTGAGGAAAAGGTCTGGCACTTTAGCTGCTAAATGCTCCAATATGTTCCTTAGCTCTGTTTGGTGCTGGGCAGGTGGAGTACAGTGGGAATTTACTGCTGAAAACAGCTAACTGTTGCAGCTGCCGAAAACACTATGAGAGCCGTAAGAGTCGACCGGCAAACCGTAACAATAAGCTGAAATATGCAGGGGGAATTGCAGAGTGCAGAACTGCGTTGTTAATATTGATTATAGTGGTTTTAAAGTGCAAATTCCTTTAATGGAGATCATACTTGGCCCGGCTTGATGGCTTCCCATCTGGCCAGGTAACCATTAGCAGTTGGCATGTGATTCATTGTGTCATTTAAGCTTTAAGATCCTCACATGACAGCTTTACCTCACAAGTCAGCTACTGCAAGTTAAAAAGTGTCCTTTACAAACTCATAAACGCAGAAATGAGAGGAATGATGCTTTACTATGAACGTATTGCAACCTTAAAGTGTTTCATATGTGGATATCTGAAGTGAGAAACAGGTCAACTTTTGAGCTGCAGTTGGTATACTGTAAACAATACACATGCTGCTGAAATTTAGCAGGGTTTCCCCACCGTCAGCACAGTTTAGACTCACTTTAATGTGAAATCAATTACTGGCAAGCTATTAGGACTACGGGGATGAGAGAGACCATTACGGTTGAGAAATGCATTGTAATAAGATGTAGATCTCCGTTAATATGTTGTATAGCTAATGGCTAATGTGAAAACAGCCAGCTCCCTCGCACGGTAATCGTGGTAATCGCTGAATCACTTCTTGTAATAAACATGCATCATATCCTGCGATAAAGTAGAAACTGTGTGTGTCATTGAAGCATGAATCTATAAAGTCGCTGCATCTCATTGTGTATGCTACTGAGATACAAGGATAAAAGATTTGAGGAAGCGCTGTGTTCTGACCATGGGAAAATGCTCGCTTGAAAGAAATCAAGAGTGAGGACGGAAGTGAGGCTATTTCTTTGATGCTTTTAAAATCTGAACAACACAAAACATGCATGACACAATGACATAAATAAATCATTCATTCAGGATATTTAAAATATTTAGATGGGCTTCCATGCTTGGTCAAAAACCACTGAAAGGAAAAAGGGAAAATACAAATGGCAGAAAGCATTTTGGTGCGACGGAGGCAGAAGGAAACAATGAAGGACTGGCAAATCCTCCTCCCGCCTGCTAAGGAATAACACCACCAGTGGGAGCGAGAACATGGCTGTCACTGCTTGTGCCTGCTGTCTCGGTGGAGACGACAGAGCTCTGCGGATCGTAATGGAAACATCAGGTTAAATTAGGATGCAGCTCTGATAGGATGGGCAGTCTAATCATCTAAAGTAGTTTCTGCTCCACCAGATTCAGCAGATCCATCTGGCTGATTACTGACTTCCACTGGCCATTTTGTCTGGCAATGCACAATTCAACCACACATTTTCGAGGACACACACAAACCCATTTTTTAATTTTATAACAGATGGACTCTCTACTCAAAACACACATGAACACAGGCGCCTCCTTATTCTCCTGTTTGTTTTTTTTATTCCCCACCATGTTTCCATTTACAGGCCAGATTGTGGCCCTTCAAAGTTTTCATACCTGGCTCCTGACACTTGCCGCGTGAACAACATGGAGCCCAGCTGAGTCACCGCCTTGTCGCTCCCAGCCTGGAGACCATCCAGAGACATGGCTGGAGGAAAGAGGTGCCACACCCATACACAAATTTACATGAAATGTACAAGACTTAAGACTAATACAGGGTCAGAAATGTGACTTTCACCGCTCAAAACACTCCCAAAATAAACCAAAATACATTAATACAGCTTGTAGACGTGCTGGTCTGCAGCCAGTGCATTGTGCTTACCCAGTGAAATGGGGTTATGTGGGGTGTGAAGCAATCTCTCCCCGTGTGCAGAGGATAGACTCTTCAGCTCCTGAGCCAGGAACAAATAAATCTCCTGCAGGACATGCACACACAGAGAAGACGCATGGAGAGACAGAACTAGAGAGAGCAGGGGCCATGCGAAGGAACTATAAATAGACACACAATGCTCCTTCTTATTTTAGCAGCAGCAGCCTTGGTTTTATTGCTAATCAAGCAGATTTACCTGCAGGTAGGCCGGTCCATGTTCAAACCCCTCCCTTCCCTTCCCCCTTCCTAACTGTCTGTGTTTCCTTCTCAGCATCAACACAAGCAATGTGTCCACTTCCTTTCCCTCTCTGGACAGGATCTTCACTCCCATCACACATCCACCTCTGGGATCAATTAGAGGTGCAGGAGAGGCGGAACACGTGCTTTTATCCTGAGACTTTAAGATCAACATGTTTAAAATATGCTGACAAAGTGTGTTTGGTTCAGAGTGTGCGGAAACAGAATAAGGGCAACGTACACAGGTGTTAGGAGCCCCGGGCCTGGCGGGGAAGAGCTGTACTACAACAAATTGCAGTGTTTTTGTTGCTGGCTAAGATTCCCCAGTGAAGCATTGCACATTAAAGGATCTGCTCTCTGCAACAGTGGGTGTATGTGTGTGTGTGTGTTTGTCTAGTGCGTACTCTGCTGACTCATACTTTCCTAATTTGAAAGCATCAAGAAGGAAAATATTTTCTCTGTCATGAGTCAAACACAAACAGCCTTTCAATGATGTCAAGTGTCTCTAAGTGTCCCTTGTTCTCCACTAACAATGGGTGACTTTATCATCCCTGGAGAGGAGGGGTGCAAGTGGTGGAGAGAGTGCACGGCTACGTCTCTGCAGACAATAAGTGCGTGTGTGATGACTAAAGCCCGTCCGAACCAAAAAGCACACATCATCTGCTGGTTCTTTGCAACATCTAGACACTTTTCGAATGATTACATGAGGCTGTAAATGAACATTAACAGATGAAATGTCTGAATTATTTAAAGCTTTTGACCCCATGGGGGGGTGCGTGAGGAAATCACTCACTTCTGCAGACACTATGGAAAACTGGTCCTGTACATTAAATATGCATGATGTGGACCAAGAGGAATCAATAAGCCTTGATGGCATCGGGTCATGCGAGAGGCCAGAGGTATTTCCTAGATGTATATTTCAGTCGGTTTTTACGCAGATTTCATTCGGGGTGCTGAATGTCACCTTGTAAGAGCGTCATTTTTAAGTTGAGATACAGTTTATAATGATTGCTAAATTTACTTACAGAGCATGTTATAAAACTAGATGTAATCCATCTGAGGTTCCTTCTAAAAAATGTCCTCTTTCAATTTTTAAAGATTAAACAAGACTAATGACTGTATCTGTACGAGGTCTGAGCATCAATAGAAACAGATTTAGTCCAGTACATTTACAGTACGCCTATGGTACAGCAGTTTAGAGGTGTGAGAATGCTGCAGTGCCTACCATTTGAAGAGGGGGATGCTGCATTGTGAGCAAGTCTGCTTTAAAGCAGGGAGCCACCAGGGGATGTTTTCTGAAACTTCTGGATCAATTTTATCTTCCTATAGCGTACTCCTCCCTCTACAAAGCTCATTGCTTGCTCAAGTTGAAAGTCTCATTCCTCAGTCAGTGTGCAGGTAAAGAGCTACACACACACACACACACACACACACACACGCAGTCATAGCATGTGATCCCCTGCAATTCAATACAACTTATGTAAGCGGCTCGTTTGAGTCTTCGGGGGAAAGATGTTGACACAGCACGCACAGAAACATATTCAGCCTGACGTTGCTGCAGTGTTTTTGTACCGATCCATACTGTTCTGATCACACCATCTGGAGGCATCCTGCAGATATCACAGCCCATCTGAAGTATGTGACAAGCTATATTTAAAAAGGTGATGCGTGAGTGCTCTCACCTTTCTTTCTGATAGGAGTTTCTTGTAGCCGCTGGCACCCAGAGTTAGAAGGGTAATGAGGACGTCGAGGGAAGGTGAGGCCGATGCGCGACCTGGACAGAGAGGGCAAACACGTGACTTTATTAAGCAGCAATAAAAACACGAGAATCTGCTGTGTGCAAAAATAATTAAAGGAATAAATATTCACGCCTTGCGTCTCATGTATGTTCTAAAGTCATCGTACTTAACATAGCGTAGATCTGAATGTACGAGTCATATGGAGATTACAATTGCAATAAAACAAAACAAGGAAAAGTAAAAAGAAAAGAAGAAAATTAAATCAAATACACATGCACTTATCTGGTATTTTACATTTTACCTCCATTATCTCACTTTATGCAGCTGAGCCACGGTACTGTTATTACCCACCTGGGTACATCTTGCTTATCTCTTGTATGAAGGACTCATCAAAACCTGCAATAATGGCGCCACCTACTGGAACCATGAAGTTCTTGTCCAAGCTTTGCACAAAGGCATCAATTCTTCCAACACGAGCCCCCTGAGGAGAGACGGCCAAGAGACAACTAAGCAAACATATCTGCCACCAATGAGTGAAGGACATATGATGACAGTAAAGACACCTATGAATATGAGATGGGATTGGGAGTGACAGGTACCCACCTGTTGTATAAGATGCATGCACTTGGACGACTGTACTCCGTATGCATTGTTAACTATGTGGGGAATGTTATGATTGGCACACATGGCGGCCAGCTCCTCGAGCCTGAAAGACAAAATGATAATGACAGTGAATGATTAATGCGAGCACGCTGTGGCAGATGTGAGATGCCGTGTCCGCGCTTTTCATTTTACCTGTCAGGGACCCGCGGGGCAAAGCAGGACGTTGTCGAGTGAACGCACAGGATGTTCTCGGCTCCGAGCTCTTCAATCTTGCGCTCAACTGCTTCCAAGTCTGTCCGCAACTCGTCGCCCTCAAGAACGTTCTCCACCACCACCGGTTCAAAGCCTGTTAGAACAGTCAGAGATGAGCGAGAGGTAGTGAAAGCCCTCAGGTGTGATTGTGTCTAGTAATACAAAAGAAACTTTACAAGGCACTACTTCAGAGAGATCCCCCCCCCCCCCCCCCCCAAAAAAAAGAAATCGCTGTCTACTATCATATTTCTGACACCAATCCAGTGTGTGAGCAGGATGTGAGGGCGACAGGGCGTCGGATGCTGATGTCATTATCACCTGCTGTGATCATGGCTTTGAAGCAGGACTTCTGGTCGATGCGAGGCCAAATGATGTAGCGAGCCTTGGGTCTTCGGTGACGAAGGGTTAGGAAGCACAGCGTCAAGCTCATTCCTGTTGCCATGGGAACTACAAAGCAGCTCGCCACACTCCGGACACCTGTTATCCAAAGGAAACAAAGAATGCTTATTGTGTGTTATTACACACAAAGTTAAGTGTATGTCTCTCCACCGAATTATCTGCAGAGATCTCGTCCTCTCAAAACAAACAGACCAGTTTTTACCATGAGCTGAATTGTCCACAGGGGTCTCTTTCTCTCCAAAATAAACAGAACCGGTGATTTAAACCGGTAAAAACACTGAATGAAGCAGTTTCATGTCACAAATCAGTATTTCTCCAACACTGACTGGCATGTCGGAGGCAAGCCACTAGCCCAGCACCTGCTAATGCGTGCTCACCTTTTTATCTCTGATAACTTAGGATCCAGAGGTTCAGAAGGCTTTTTACTGGGACACCAATTACCCAAAGAGGTCTCTTCCTCCCCTAAACAGTTTTTCCGACGCTCTCATCACAACTGTGGCTAATGCTAAAACATGAATGGCCCTATCTAGAGCCTGTGTTTGGTTTGTCTGTTCTGGGCTGCTGCAGAAACATGGTGGTGCAACATGGCGATCTCTATAGACGAGGACCCTGACCCCTATGTGGATATAAATGGCTTATTCTAAGGTAATGAAAACACAACGATTCTCTGAGGACTCTGGGGGGTTTTTCTGACCTAATTGTATTGTGGAGTTTTGCACATCAGCGACCGGATCTTTGCTCTCAAACCACAAAAAAATGTGATGGCACAACAGTCTCCTTCAGTACATTATTCTATGCTTTCTTTTGATTTTCACATTGGCTAGTCATCCTGTTTAATTTGTCTTCTGATTAAATCGGAACCGTTGAAACAAGTTGTAGGAAGCCTCTGCAAGTAATTGGTTGCTGGCAGACACTCTGTGCTGCAATAAAATGGTTAATCAGCAGTGCCGTGCACTGTAGAGCCGATGCGCTGCTGGTTCTGCCGGCCTGAGTAGAATATAATGTCTACAGCCTTACTGTTGTGTACACAGCATTTATAGACTGAGCTGAGTAGTGATGCCCGTAACCCGCGGGACCCGCAAATGGACCTGCGGGTCGGGCAGCAGTGATCGTCTGTTAAATCAGTCTGTAAATGATATTTTGACATTATTGGCTCTTACTGTCATGGCATCCGAAGGTACTGATGCATTGAGCAGGTGACAGTCCGCGGTCGTTTTCAAAACACACTTGTGTCACGCACTCCAAAAGAAACTTGTTGAAACTTTAAACAATAATTTATTGTACAAAACGGGGGAAACAAATGTTGACAAAAACGGTTCCATAATTCATATTAAATTCAAAAGTTAACGAAAAAACAACTACAAGTTAGAGGAAATAGTGATAAAGTGGTAAAACTTGGCATTGATCCACAGCCTCAGACGGATGCGCTCAAGCCTGCCGTGCACACAAGCTCAGTTGGTAGGCTATACTATATTTTCACATTTTTAACAATGCAATTTAAAAGTTTTGATTTTTATTGATAACCTACATTTACCAACAACAAAAAGACTACATTTAGCACCCAAAAAAAAAAAAAAAAAGTAAATAAAAAAAAGAATATCGAATTCCAAATTTTCATAACGAATACCTACCCATAGAAACGAATATTCGAATATCCGAATATTTGGGTACAGCCCTAAAAACCTGCCAATATATCCCACTAAATCCTACATGCTGAACCTTTAAGACATAATACTTGGCCTATGTTACAAACTGGAGGTCAAATGTAGTCAAAACACATCTTTTGGTTGATAAAAACATTATGTGGCACAAATATTGAGTGTTCTTGCAAAGTAAATAATAATAGCATATACACACCTGAGAGCTTTAAGATGTCCAACACCAATGAGTTGGTCAGCTTGTTCAGCAGACTGGACCCTGCAGCTTTGGGCTGAATAGCAGCTATGTCACCTGACCGTCCTATACCATGGATCAACCTACATAAAACAGCTGAATGTCACAACAGGAACCGTTAAATAACTTCCTAAACTCTGAGAAGCCTCAAAATCTAACACTGCTCACTACCGCTGATTTGTGTGACTCAGACTTTGGAGTATACTTCAGTAATATGTTGATTAGAGCCCGACCGATAGAACGGGACCTTCAGCTGTTTGCTGATTTGATTGAATACGACATCATGTAGAGTATAAAGTTAATGCCAAGCTTGAACCTGTAATGTCGTCTTGCCACAAGGCTGGATGCCACGCGGCCTTCCCTCTCTCCGACGCCACAGTTACCGAGAAAGTTATTGCTGTCCATCACAGCCAGCTCATGAAGGAAGAGCTCGACGGTGCTCTCACTCCATCCCTCCTCTGGACACTTACCCTGCAACATGCACAATATAAAAAGTGAATGAATCTGCGGTTAATGCAGTGACCTTGAGGAGACATGCAGACAGTCTGTAGACTTTACCTGCTCCAGTAAGTGTCTGATGAGCTGCTCATGGCCACGACGAGCCTGGCTCCCCTGTCGAATGTAGGAGGCCGACACTATCCTCTCACTCAGGCTGAAATTTTCACTGTTCATCTCTGTCAAACAAACAGCTTTAGGTTAGCATTAGCTGACAACCATCGGGTACTTTTCTAGTTTATGCATTGTGTACACATATATAATGTTTCAGTTCAGAAGCATGTCTCAGACTGCAGAAAATAAGAAGGATAACAAAGTTTGGCCATGTCACAGGGCTCCCTTGAACTCTCACCTTAAGATATCTGAATGAAAATGGGTTCTATGGGTGCCCACAAGTCTCCACTTTACAAGACATGCCCACTTTATGCTCGTCACATGCAGTTTTTTGCATGCAGTATACATGTGTTATTTCTGTCTACTGCATTTGAATATTTCTGCACACTGAGGTCCCTAAACAGTCTTAGAATTGCATAAACTAGCTATGACTGTAAAGCTGAGACCCTTGTGGATTCAATGAGCCCTGCTTTAATCATGTATGATGATGTTAGTCCCCATAGTGGCCATTTCACTGTAGCTAGACAATTTCTTTAAGATGGACATCACTGTGTAATAGGCCCTATTGTGACCTCTGGGATAATTTGAGCCTCATGAAACTTTACAACTTTTACTTTCTCAGCAGTTTCCAGAACAGAAATACTTGCCATGCTATCGCCGAAAATACAGTTCTTACAGAAATCTCCAAATGTGCAAAGTTGTTGATACCAAATCACAGGTTTTTGTGTCTTAATGTGGTATTTTGGAAGAGAGTTTCTACCATTTTTATCAATTCTTGAGTCAGTAAATATGCTTAAATTTTAGTGCAAACACTGTGTAACAAATTATATCAACCCTAAAATTGCTGCAACAATGTATGAGACATAATTGAGCATGGGAATTGCCATCACAGGCTTCCATCATAATGTTTAAAGCCCATATACACTCTAAATTTAAAATGTTTTCATAAGTGCCTCACCAAATAAAATGTTTATTACATATTATTACATATTTTCATATGATTTGAAAAACTTGACACACAGTGCTTGGCTGCATCTCATATTAGTGTTCAGGTTCCCAGCTTTCAGATAATGTGAATACTACTTCTATGTGCCATATATTGTTGGCCTGCAATCTACTCATACAGATCCCCCTCAAAAAGACAAAAAGGCTTTATGTGGGTCTCAGAGGGTTAAACATCTTAAATTCCTTTCATCCCCATCATTGAAGTCTGCTATGATATACTCAAATAAAAACGTCTGTAGAAAGCATGAGCGCGAAAACCGAGAAAACTTCTCAAGATTCTTTGATTCTTTGAAATTTCACGTTATCACGGGGAGACATTTTGATTTGTCATAGTAGGAGAAGCACAGGTGAAATTGATTAACAGCAACAATGGCTATGCTCCATTAAGTGTCACAGCTTGCACAATACCAGGGCTTCCCCTAATACAAGTGGAACGCAGCTATCCGTAATGTTACTGAACACACCTGTGCTTTTCCTACTATAACATGTCACAATAGGGGTTTCTCAAAGTCTGGGAGGGGTCCTTAAATGGCTGAATTCCAAGGACGCTATGTCATCAAATCCCGCCTACGGATTGGTCCAATGTCAAGGATTCTTCAAATTCTACCGAGGGATTCAGGGAATTTTCAAGGATGCATGTGTGTATCCTCAGAGGGTGTAAAGTACCCACAATTCTTTGCGCACGATTTGCTGGAGCTGATGGTGCGTTCGTTTTGTACTCGGAGGTCGGAAATTCCCAGTTCCCAGTCGGAAGTTTAAACTCGAACGCACCCTGAGATCGGATTTCCAACTCGGAAACTCGGAGCAGCCACATCAACCCCGACTTACGAATCCAAGATGGCTGCCGGTCACATACACAGCGAGTAAACACTGCTAAAGTGCTGTTTATAGCAATTTTATCTTATTTGTTTTACATTAGGTCAGCCTCATCTGCGGCGTTCATCAGTTGGAGTGCATGATGGTTTTGAAGCTGCCTCTACTCCTAAAGTGCTAGGGCAACAAAGGCTTTCTTGTGGGCGTCCATGTTTTTTTCCGACTTGTCCACCATTGTCAACTAGAATGCAAAAACTGTTGTCAACTCGGAGGTGATGTCATTCCCACTTCCCGGATATTCTGATGGCAGAACCAAAAAATATTAATGTGATTTCCAGTTTGTGGGCCACAATTTTTTCCAACACTACTTATCTGAATTGGATGTCGTCTATTAGCTGTTACTTGTGGGTAGGGTCCGGAAATATCTTAACAAAACATTTTTAATGCATCTGTCACAGCACTGATATCACGTTAAGTGTCCACCCACTATTCACATGATAACACCACGATAACTGCTCTCATTCTTTTGGTTTCAGTTGGTGTATTTTCTGGGGAATTGTGATGAGAACAGCCACAGTAAACACATTGGAATATACTGCAGGTCAAAGCACCACTCATTTGTTTTGCGGTGAACATATTTTGGGGGGGGGGGTTACACAGTGGTATAACGTGCAGTCGGCACGGTCTGGTGTTTCAGAGCAATGCAGCTCATCAGATCAGATCCGCTTTTCTGATTATTGTAGCTGATTGTGTGGTGATACATGTATAAAATCTGGAACACTTTGGAATCACAATGTGAGTCTGTATATATACTGTAACGGGTGTGGTGAATTAAATCAATGCCGCAAAAGGTCTATATCATCTGACAAGTGATTAGAGTGTGAATCTTCCTTCCCACTACTTTTTGGACATAAATGAAATCTTTATGTGTTCTTTCAGTTTTCATGCTTCCTTTAGTAACCTTTTCTTTACCCCTGTCTACTACTGTGTGATTATTTAGTTTATGTGCTACTTATGTGCTTGAAATAATCTGCTACTAACTAACAAACTACAAAAGGGATTAGGGTGTGGATGTGGATGTGTGTGTGAGGGGGCTTTACCTGGCCTCACCTGTGAAGATCATTTTTAGATAGCCATTTAATTATCCAAATTACTGGAACAGATTAAAGTGCTGACGCTTCAAACATTCCTAACACTAGGGCTGCAACGATTAGTCTACTAATCGATGACTAATCGACTATTAAAATAATTGGTGAATATTTTAGTAGTTGACTAATCAGTTTGAGTCATTTTTCATAGAAAAGTACTATAAAAGTACCCCAAAATACTCTTACTGCAGCTTCTTACGTTCAAATATTGGCAGCTTTACACACTCCCATGACGGTGAACTAAAACCCTTTGGCGTGAGTACGACACAAGAGATTAGATGACATCATTTTGGGGTTTGGGAGAGACAGGCCGACATTTTTCAACATTTTTCGATGAAATGATTAGTCTACTAATCGAAGAAATAATCGTAATGTCATGTTGTTTTACATATTTTGGCAGAATTCTGAAACTACTTTTTACAAAAGTTACATATAACCCACCTGTATTTTAAGTATAATCCAGAAATATAGTCTCCCTAAAAGTCATGTGACTTGTTCAATATTAGAGAGTGCCAAAATTACCACAGTACCTGAAACCCTCACAGTCTGCTGAGGGTTAATGACGCACACCTGGGGGCACTTAGCATGTTCACTAAATGCTACAAAGGACCTGTCCTACCAGGGATGGGTCCTTGACTTTGAGAAACACCAAATATCTCTGAAAAAAAGGTCTACAGCAAGCCAGGACACTCCTGTAAAATATACTTCCAATCTCTGTGAGGCTAGGATGCACAAAGTCATACACCACGCAAACGCTGCATGTCTATCTGCTAATGTTACCCAATCTTCCTTAGCCAGCAGAACACCAAAGAGAAGCACAAACCAAAGGGACACTTCGTGTTTCACTTATGTTAACTAACTTCTTACCGACCACAAAAGTTGTACATAAGTCAGCACGTGATAAAGTTAGTTGTGGGCACGGTTACAACATGATAACCGCCTAACTCGAGGTATCTCTGTTAGCAAAGCAGCTAGCAGCTCTGCTAAGTTCAGCTAATGTTTTCACGCGGGGAACAAGAGCGCACAGGTCCAACAGGGCTGCTTTGGGAAATGACAGTTGTTATATCTTCTTACCTCACAGCTTTCCTGTGAGTCTCTCCCGTGTTTCACACACTGTCAACCCGCCTCCAAACTACCAAACACACATGAAAACAGACAGGAGGCGACAGCAGCTTGGAAGGGGCTGAGTTCTTCTTCTTCTTCTTCTCTGGGGTTAACGGTAGCTTACATTCTCAGCGTAGCAACACTGCCATCTGCTGGAGTTAGTCAGCTCCTATAGTGTTGGCCAGAGTTTCCCACCAGACCTGTTTTCTTTAGGAAGCTAGCCAAACATCCACCTTTACCATGCTCTTCATCCTGTTCCTGTTAGCCTTAATTTTTCCATGTCTTCCATCATGTCTTTTATGTCTGATATATTTCCTGCAACAGTTTGTAGTGCCTCACAATGTTGATGAACACCAATCGGATGCATCTCTGTAATGTGAAGTGTAATGTCATATAGTCATTATTACCTACTCCTTTCTATTTCTTACAATGCCCACTCTGTTTTGAACTGATCCCAGTGCTGCTGCATCTCTTTGGATCGTTTCAACACAATGCCTCGCCTTGATTAAAGAAATTCAAGATCTCCTTCTCCTGTCCTGCCAAAACATGATCTCTGTGTTCTCTCCCTTTCCCGACAGGACTGTAACACTTTTTTTGGTTGGGCAACCATCTTCGTAACTTCTTAAATTCATCCAATAGTTGACTGCTTGGTGTTTTTTGTGTAAACTCAGTGGCCTTTCTCCTGTCCCAACTTGTAGGGCACACTGAGTATCGTGCTGAAATGATGATGAGTGCTTTTCATTAAATGCCCTGTTTTTACATTTGTTGTCTCTCTATGGTCCTGCTTTCGTCTGAGGGATGGATCTCAGCTGTTCTGAGACTTTCTTTCACCTTATCATCAAGACTTTTTGTTCATAGTGCCATTAATATGAATCAGATATTTGTCACTCTCCTCCTTAACCTTTGCTTCCCACCCATTTTCCAGCCAATGTCCACCTCAGCCACTGATGCATGAATGTTTATTTTACAAAAGACTGCCTAATGGTTACCACAGGGGGTTATCATAATTCACAGCCACTAATTCCATCCTTTCAACCATGATTCAGCCATGATTCCTCAAATGTTACGCCACAAAGCCTGTTTATAATTCATCGCCGACTTTACAGTTTACTGGAAAATGCAATCTTTTCAAAAAAACTAATTTTCATTAAAATTTCATTTTTAATTTAAGTTATTATGATATTGCTGCAATACATAAATAAACCCTTAATTAAACTTAAATGTGTGCGTGAATAATAATATTTAATGTAATTTGTAAATATGTTTTAAAGTGGCTAGTGTGTTTTAGGAGAATACAAAAAAAGCAGAACTTTACACACATCAATTTGCTTTTTTTTTTTTTTTTTAAAACAGGTATGTTTTATTAATGAGTTGATGTTAGATTTAATAAGCACTCAATGGCATTTACCACCACATACATATACACACTTTTGATTTTGAAGCCTTCAGAAACACTTTCACAAAACAAAACCTCCACTTCACCTCTTGAATCTAATTTATTAGAAATATTTGTTAGAGGAACAATTAAAGGTTACATTACATGCAAGGTTGACAGTAACGGGACCAACATAGTATATAATCTTGAACTTAAGTAAAAGTAGCGAGAAAATATCAATGTAAATGCACTACGTTACCAAAAAAGTCCTGCATTCAGTGTTACAGCATTTTCAAACATTTTAACTCCATCAATATAAATTACATATATGTACATGCAAAATTTTAATGGTGAAATAGGTCAAGCTGAAGCAAATTACATTGATTTTATTTACTATTAGGCACATAAATCTACAACAGTGCATCATATTTTTGTCATTTTGCCTTATCTTGTTGTCATTATGCTAATATCAAAATAGCAAAATGGCTGAAATGAATAAGAATGCCACTAATAACACTATCACATATCACATGAATGCATCAAGAAAGAAAGAAAGAAAACAGTGTTGCATTCACTGTCCTGCAAATCTATACACGTGTGAAACTAAAATTTTGTCAGACATACAATATCTTCATCATACATTTTAAAAAAAAAAAAGGATATTCCTCTGAACTCCGATAAAACAATTCAGCAAACTGAGTTAGTGACACACCTTAAATACCTCTTGAAAACTGACAGTCACACACAGGTTACACAATGTTTGTTTAAAAAATGTTGTAGTAATTAGCTGTATTAACCTGCCTAAGAGTAGCCACCAGCCACAGTGACAAAAACACACACTTATTCCTCACACACACAGCAAAAGTATTATATTCATCAAACATGCACAGCATTCAAAATGGCCACAATTTAAACAAAAATGAAACCAAGAGCACAAGCCACCAGCCTCACTGCAGGATCCCTCAGTGTGAGCAGGTACACTTTACATCCATGGGGGTTTTGCTGTGCTGCAAAGGGGAGAGAAAGATGGCAATTTGATGGCATAGCAGGGCTCTCAACTCAACAGCTATGCCAACATCTTGCCTTCCTTCCTGGACCCAGAGTTCGGATACATGGCACAGTCCATCCGCGAGTGCTGGGATGGCAAATCAACATACTGCTGATGGTGCTGAAGACACGCCGGACTCGTAAAACGTGGAGTGGCTCAAGCGCAAAGCCATGCTGATTCAACAGGTTTGTGCGTCACTGAACATCCCAGCTTTGGATAAACTTCACAAACACACTGTGATATTTCAAAATAAGATATCAGATCTGGTCCTGTTATCACTGATATTATGAAAGCGATACACAGTTTCACAGCACGACCAAAACGCAGGAGTAATAAAAGCACTGTAGGCCTTTGCCCTGTTACGCGATCCTCTCACCTACCTGTTGAGGTGTGGAAGTGGAATTCCCATATCCAGCTCTCCCTCGCTCGTTGTCCCAGATCCATGTGCGCTGGCATCCGGCGCCAGCACAGTAAAAGTAGGCTGAGGGTGGAAGAGATAAGTCTGTCCTCCGCCGCCCACTCGTGTGTCGGCCAGTGTGTCAGTGGATGACTATCTATCACAGCAGCGCGCAGCGCAGTAGGTGTGTTTGGGGTTGGCGGGGCAGCTCTGGCGTGGCTTCCTGCACCTTTGGGCGCTGACGAGGAATCCGATTGGCCTAATTCGGAGGGGACACCCTTCCGAGGAGAGAGCAAACCTGTTTGGACTGATCATTGTCAAAATAGACTATAAATATGTCTGTAGAGCACAACCCTGCTACAACTTTTGGATCTACAAAGGCATGTGATCATAAAATAAAACTCAAGGAAGGGCTGATTTCTTACTATCAGAGTGCCAAATCAACCATCTTGTTTTTTTGATTGTCATAAACTAAACTCTGCTTCAAAAGTCCCACTTGCTGACCGACACACAAAATAAACCCTGACTGCAGAAACTGGTTCATTAATGAATCACACAGTGATTCAAAAGCTGTCTAGACCAGAGAGTGGTGGCCATCCAGGACAGGAAACACCATTTTGTGAGAGACCTGTTTATGGCCCTTAATCACTGGCTCTTCAATGCAAACAGACAGCATGTGGATGTTTACCTCCATGCCTATAATCTCTTACAAAGGGTTAACACTTGATTACAGCTGGAACTGATTCATGATGGCGAACAGTCACCAACCAGACTAAAGAGCATCTGTGCCCCCTCCAGCAGGGGTGAAGAGTAAGTAAGCACATTTACTTAATTACCATAGACTCCTTAAGTACAGTTTAAGGGATACTACACTTGAGTATCACTTTATAGTTCTACTTCACATTTCAGAGAAAAAATATTGGACTTTTAATCCACTACTTTAACACCTTAAATTACTTCCAGATTAAGATTTTTCACACACACACACACACACACACACCCCTTACCCCTCACCCCTTACAACACAGCAGCGTCTAGTTGGGGCCACTCATCATGCTTCAGATTTCTATGAGTCATTAGCAGTTTCACCAAAGACACATTTTCCCACTAAACTTCTCAGACGGTTTAATTGAACGAACATTTCAAATAAGTGTCCATTATTTAAAGTACAAACACACAAATAAAATAAAATTGGAGAAATGACAGAAAAATGAATAGAAACTTGTATATCAGATTTTCAGGGGTGGCTGACCCCTAGGTTTGGAACCACTGCTATAAGGTGGTAGAAACACACACACACACACACACACACACACACACACACACACACACACACCAATATTCAAATATGCTCAAAATGCACCCTGTGATTAAAAAAAAAAAAAAAAAAGTATGCTACAAATGCAGTGAAAACACCTTGAAAAGAATCCACTGGTTCAACTTAAAAAAATTAACCTGACACTTTGCACGCATCTTCAGTAGCTCCATTATGGCTTTACTGAGTAAATCCTATGACTCTTTTATAATCTTAACTTAATTAAGTTGAACCAACTTAATATTTATCCAAAAGTTTAGTGGTCAGATTATTTTAAGTCATACTGAGTTATTTATTTGAATTCCATCCCACTCAGAAATGTCAAAAAAAAAAAATTATGCTGAAAATATTTATTTTAGGTGTTATCCATAAAGCCCATGAATAATTCTTTAGAGTGATAGACATAAATTGTCATTAATATTAACACTGGATCTAGTATTACAGTGTGCTGCAGTTCTGGTTGTGGTTTGTCCACGTGGTGTTGCCGTACCCCAGCAGACTGCTGTATAGGTACAACCAATGTCAAACACTGTGCTGTCTCTATTTGATGACTTTCAAATGAATTAAAAGGTTGAAAATTAGAATGTTGTGGTACTGTAGTGTTGCTATATCATAAAAAGTTCATCACAAAGTCACAGAATAATAAGTTAAGAGTATTGTACGTCATTAAAAAATGAAAAAATAAAAATAAAAATAAAGAAGTTGTATCAGAGTGTGTGCCCTTATCCTGTGCGACCCTCAGTCATACGATAGCTCCCCAAAATGGCACTCAGCCATCAAAATGATAGGAACCCCTGATCGAAGATTTCTGTTTCAAAATGCTCTAAAATGCAAATTTTAGCTGTAAAGTTTCTAAAAATTTCTACTGGGGTAATTCCCTGAGGCACCCCAGGAGGATTTGGTCACAGAAGGTGTCAGTTGTAAATGGGACTTTTACTTATTATACTTTAAGTACA